TGAAATATAATATATACAAAATGAAACAAAGAGATCAAACACCAAATTTGAACTACCGGTATATTATAGAAGACATAAAGACAACATATTATGCTAAACGTTTTAATGCCTACTCAAATTGCAAATATGACAGCTTCACAAATTTGTGGTCACTATGTCACAATCTGTTCTGTTAATCTAGCGCTACATATAATGTACTGCTATTATATTTTCAAGTACCTATTCATTTCCACCTGAATGCACATGTGCCTGTAAATTGACTTTGTATATATACTGAGTCAAAAAAGAAACTTCACAAAATGTAATTTGAAAAATAATGAATAATTTTTCTCTGATGATACATCTATGTATCCGAAATGGGATCCCTATCTTTCGACTCTAGAAAAACGTTAGCAAAACCCACTCAAACCCATCCATTCGTCCTGCAAATGACGTTAGTGCCAAATCAGGTTTTGCACGTGCAGTCGATCACGTGATCTTCGCATCGAAGTTTTCTTCATATGCACGTGTTTGCATTGGCCTCAAGAATTGAAAAAACACTTTTAAACCACAGTTCTAACGGTACTTGAAATGCCACGATTGTCAAATGTGCAACGTGAACGTGCGTTGGCATGTTGCAAGTGGGAAGATCAGTTATTGACGTCGCAAGAGCAATGGGATGCAGCCGTCGTACTGTGTATGACTTGCGCAGGTCGTCTACAACAAACTGGCACCACTTCTGATCGCCCAAGGTCGGGTCGTCCACGTGTGACGTCACGAGCAGAAGACCGTCAAATCGTCCTACGTCACCTACGTGACAGATTTCTGCCGGCTACACGAACCAGGGCTGAGATGTTTAGAGGTCGACTGTCCTCACAGACCATTCAAATCGGTTGCGGGCTGCCAATCTCCATTCTCGACGTCCATATCGTGGGGCCAATATTGACGCCGTTTCATCAACGTCAACGTTTGCTGTGGGCCCAACGTCACCTCCGATGGACCCAGAGAGACTGGAATCGAGTTGTCTTCAGCAATGAATCCAGGTTTACCCTCAGATTCGCGGACGGCAGGCATAGAGTCTGGAGACGACGTCGTGAACGGTATGCCCAATGTTGTGTACAGGAAGTCGACAGATTCGGGGTCAGAAGTTGCATGGTGTGGGGTGCTTTCTGTGGGAACAACCGTTCCCGACTTCTGGTCATCCGTGGAAACCTCACAGCTGCTGCTTACCGCGACCAGGTGCTCACCCTGAACTCGTTCCTTTCATGGCGGCTCATGGCCCAGGTCTACAGTTCCAGCATGATAATGCTCGGCCCGTGATACCGCGATGTTGACATGAAATTTCCTTCAAAACGCTGGAATCAACGTCATGGACTGGCCATCGAGGTCCCCTGACCTTAATCCAATAGAGCACGTTTGGGATGCACTTGGGAGAAGGCTTCGTGGTCTTAGGAACCAACCTCAGAATTTGCAGGAACTTGGCTGCCTTGCAAGAGCAATGGCGCCAGAATCCCCAACCACGTGTTCACAAGCATCAGGCAGTCGATGAGGAGACGGTGTTTGGCAGTGGTGAATGCACGGGGCTGCCATACACGATATTGAACTGAGAAATTTCGCATTTTTATTCTTGTGACTTGACATTCTGTATACCCTTGTTTTGGAACGGCGGTGTAGCCTAATGGAACTGATTATGGCACTGTCAGTGTATCGAGTACATCACACAGATCTCAGCAATGAAATAATAACAATTTAACCATCTTACCATCTCTTGTTCTTTTATAGTGCCCTGAAGACAGAATGTGAAGTTTCTTTTTTGACTCAGTATATTTGCGAATCGTGTTTATACCAACCTGTTATGTAATGAACTGTATGACTTGGATGTATGGAGATTCAACCCAAAAAAATTACCAAAAAAACCCAACACTATTTAAGCACCACCAATTTGATGTGTGACATCAAAAAATGACAAGTGTGATTCTTTGTTTGAAATGAAAAGACTGGCAAACCAACAAACAGAATGCTTTGAACGACCATCACAAAAAGTGAAGTTGACATTAACAACCAATCGTAGGGTTAGAACCCAGACTGAGTGCTGGTGTCTTAGTACTTACTCCCATACTGTGGATTTTCATCCTACAAGGGAATCAACCCACAAAATTGTACTAAAATTAGTACTTTTCAGAAAGAAAGAAAGACAAAAACATATTTTGTTCACTGAACAGGATGTTGTCCAGCTCTCACACGTAAAACAAAAAGTATTCATTTCGGTTCAGAACAACACTTATTACATTCGGAAAATGGATTTGCAATCATAAGGTGCTAAATTGCAGCTCACATGTATGTAACAGGTATTTCCTGCCATATAACATGTAGTTTCTGATATATAACACAAATTTCTGAATATATAACACATATTTCTGAATATATAACATGTAGTTTCTGGAATATAACATGCATTTCCGATATATATCCTGTGTGTTTTCTGCCATATAACATGTGGTTCATGATATATAACAAATAGTTCCCAATATATAACAGGTAGTGTCCAATATATAACATGCAGTTCTTGATATATAACATGTAGTTTCCAATATAAAAAAGGCATTTCCTGATATATAACATGTAGTTCCTTGTATATAAGAATTTCCTGATACATAACATGCATTCCGTGATGTACAACATATATTTCCTGATGTACAACATTTATTTTATGATATATAACATATACTTGCATTTAACTGAGCATGCTCAGTTATATTTGTGAATGATACAAATACAGGATATCATCATGTTATATAAGTTGCAGCAGTATCTCAATGGGGTATATGTGGTTATATTTCCCTCCCAGGCAGTATATATAGTGTTCTGGCAACATCACATAAACCAATCAGATCCCAACATTCTGACATGGACATCAGCAAATGGTTAATAACTGCTAATGAGTTATACACTCTAAGTGGATCTACCCGTACTTGAACCATAGTACAATATGATGCCTTGGAAATATGAAAATTCAAAAACTATAATGACTAGCAAAAAAAGTTCAAGCAAATGATGCGTACATATAGTTTCATGAAGGTATACTGAATGGTCGAGTTTTGTCCTTGAAATGACTCCTACCCTCATTTGAAATCTAATCCATGAACTGAAAATGAATTATATACTTTTTTGAAAAAGAACCTTCTTAATATACTGAAAACTAAAATGTACCAGTTCATCCCATACCTGATGTTACGCTAGATATTCTCTGATATGCACACAAGGTTTCATGAAGAAATCTTCAATAGTTTATGTTTTATGCTCCAGAAATAAAACATGACAGACTGACATAGCCAATTTCTATAAATTACAACATATTCACCATTGAAAGGTAGCATATGGTTTAAACCTATCAACGTAAGTGGATTTGAAGATGCCATTCATATATTGTTATCCAGATATGGTAGTGGGTAGCCTCGTGGTTAAGGCGTTCACTCATCACACTGAAGACCGGGTTCGATTCCCCACATGGGTACAATGTGTGAAGCCCATTTCTGGTGTCCCTCGCTGTGATATTGCTGGAATATTGCTAAAAGCAGCGTAAACTCACTCTCCCACTGTTATCCAGATATTAATCCCTGATAATATATGTTCAATCCAAGAAAATCCATACCTACTTTAGTCGCAATATGGCTGAAATGTGACGTAAAACCATAACTCATTTAACTATACCTATTTCATCCCATATTCAGTCCTACAGGTGCTGTATATTTTCATAAACCACACAAAACATTACATGCAATAAATACTAAAAGTAGAATATATTATCCTTCATGTCAGGCAATAAAAGCATCCCTTCAATACAGATACTTATTCCTTTAATAGTGACTAAAGTTCCAGCTATGGATTTGCCATTTTATCATGTTAATGTTATCTGAAAATGGCTATATGTATTAATAATATATCATAACCCTTGTGAAGAATGCTGGGGTCGGCTTATCATGAAGTTCTCATCTTATTAAACAGGTGCACCTTGTGATATCGAGGACTTCCATTGGTGCAATACTCATAATAACTACCAACACTCTACATCACTGAGATGAGGGTTCAAGACAGTTAGTGTATCTGATGCGAGGGCAGTGTAAGGGTTAATCTTCATAAACCTCACTCCCCCACCTGTTCAGTAATAAAATCTTCTACGTAAACAGTGCATAGCCAGATTACACATCTATGATAGCAGATTAGCACACTGCCAACAATGTTTGGACTATCCAAAGTGAAAACTTGACTGGAAAAGTCTCCTCAAGTGATGCCCACCAAACAACAAGTCAGTCATCAAGATGTCTCACCAAGGTGCTACATACCAAGTTTGTCTTTTCACGCTAATTAAATGTGTATTATGAGTTAAGACAATCTCACTGACAGGACATGTTAAAGGCATACTATAAACAATTTCTAACACTCTGTAAATCAGATTTTGGACAACATAATATTTTAATAAGTGTATTTCAGATCTGTTTAATGAGAGCCCTGCCATACTGTCTTAACATCTCAGTGCTGCTAAACCACAATAATGACACAAGCTAATGGTTCCTTTGACCTAATTTGGTCATAGTTGTTATGGTGGTCAAACATATCAGAATGTATCCCAAATTATTTTTGTCTTGGGACAGCTGTACTGTATATTATACTCTCAGCATAATTACACTCATATTTGACTTATAAAGTGCTTCATTTTTCCGGTCTTGGAACCTGGCTGTGAATAGACTGTTAAAATTCTCGAAAAGTCAAAAGAACTATTGTTATTTCACAGACACCCATCGACTGAACCACAAGCTTGTAGGGATATTTTCCACACTGCTTTCTTCCTGCAACATGTCAGTTGACAAACCTGCCCATCCTATTACACCCTCTTCCTCAACACCTCCCCCCCTCCCATCCCCCAAACACTAGGAAGGACACTTTACCAATGAACCTGCAACATTTTTCTCCATGATTTGTTGGTTGCTATTAAATCCATGCTAATTAGTAGTAATTCTTACTTTATCTTTTTCCGCTGGTGGACTAGCGTCTGATTTGGGTGAATCTTGGGCCTTGTCCTTTGTATCGATATCCTCAGGAGGAGTGTCACAACTATCCGGCTTGGATCCGGAACTTCTTTCTGGGCTTTCGGAATCCTTCACTTTGCACTGAATGGTCGTGCTGTCGTCTGCTGACACAACGTCCTTTAAAATCAAAATACTGCAGTTGTAAGGCGTCATAGACAGGTCACGTTACAAGCATTAGACCTCATTACACACACAACTACCAGGTCTCGAAACATTGCACGTCTGCCCAGAATCTATACGTCTAGGACAGTCGGATTAAATTTCATCAAAGCTGGCGCAGGCCATGTCGAAATGGTAACGATGACTGAAGGTCACGAAACACCCCCTGTGTCACATGAAAACTTACTTTGATATCGGAAATGAGATGAAACGGTTTACCAAACCTATACGAACCTTCATTCCGAATGCTGAAAGTTTCGCGACCCTCGTTGTCTTGTTGAAGTACCAAACTTTCCTCCGCCCCTTTCCAGCCCGGCTTGTCACAAGTTACCCCCAGACGATATGCAGCAGACGACTTCTGCAAACGTAAACATAAAGCACGTGTCGTATGCTAATAATGGCACCGCTCGCCTCGTTATAACAGCGATATACCCTTCCACAAACAATCCCAGTCGATATCCTCCAGGAATTGATACTCTCAGAGGTCAGAGGTCATGGAGCTCGGGATTCAAAACTGACATCAACAGTTGTCGTTATATATATCGGAACGACGATGACATTTCCACACTCGTAGCAAATCTCCTCAACAGAGAAAGCAAATTAGCAGCGTTTGAATTGAAATGTCAGACGCCGTAATGCGGAAGCGACGTCCGGAAATACACAAGTTTAGCATGCAATTTTCGATGGTTTATGCCAACATAGAATGTGTCTAATAATTACTGAAATCCGACAACTTGGGTGATAGGAAGTTCGACTTTTATTGACGCGGGCGATGGATGAAGTGGTTCAGGAGATATGATATCATACATAATTCACACCAGACGACAGTTGGTTTGTTTGGCTTTGTTTGTTTTTTCTTGTGATGTAATGTTTGTAACTTTTCCTCCTGAAGTAACTCAAGCAACGTGCAATGCGATATATGAATATATATTTAGTCAAAATATTCACCATTGTTTCGAACTTTGATGAATAGAACGTACAGCTGTCTCGAGATAAAAGCTTTGTTCCTGTATTCTGTATGAAGTATTCAGTTCGCATTTGTGTCGAACCAGGGGTTAGGCTACTCGAAGTATTCTCGTAGGTACCTTTAACTTCGACAAAACGGTTCTTGATCGTGTTTAGGATGAGAATGGGTGTGGTTGGGAGAATGTTGTTTTACGACACAGTAAGGAATATTCCAGCAAAATTCCTCGAGCCAGACGAACGACATGCATGAGCCCCACCCTCAAGGCATCCGGCCCACCAGCTTATTTGTCATAACATCCTATTTAAGAGCTCTTGAGTCATATCAGTGAACACGACCGATATATTTATAAGCCCGGGATTTCATATAGAATGTCTGACCATGCGTGTTCATACTTGGGGATTCCACAAAATTTCATGTTCATATGCGTAGATTTTCATCGAAAATTCTGTACCTACCAGAATACTGGTTTTGTCAATGGCAGCTTTTATATCCTTATAACTATTTATGTAGGGGCGGATCGCACGCGCGCGCGCACGCACGCACGCACGCACGCACACACACACACACACACACACGTAGACCTCCTTTCTCCAAAATCCTGGATCCGCCCCTGGTTTATATACCTGTCAATGGCGTGTGTTCAGGTACAAAAAACTTCTTCCTTTACTTATTCTCCTTTTTCATCTTCCGGTGATGCTGAGCCTGCATCCGGGTAACAAGTTATATGAATTTATATTATTGATCGGGTACTTATTTTTGATAAATGAATAGTCGTGATGTCTGTAATCTATATTTCACGTTTAACACCTCTTGTATTAGATCATGTATACTATTTGCAGCTGTGTCTGGTTTTCACAGGAATAGCTTCACAATAGGTGCCTTTATAATAAAAGAGTAGATTAAAGTAATACGTGTATTCTAAAGCTCGCCACTATTGATATGGCCTGATCTCCCACATATACATACTGGTGAGTGAGTGAGTGAGTGAGTGAGTTGGGTTTAACGCCGCGCTATTCCAGTTATAACACAACGAAAGGGAAAGCTTTTAGTTATTCAAGCCCTAGACTAGACTAAAGCTTAGTCTCTTAAATATAATTTGACAGGACCAAATACCTCCATATGAATTGAAAAGAAGCCCCAGTGAAATCAAAGATTCAGATTCCGTATTCAGGGGATAATGTAGACTTGCTTCATTCAGATTTTGCATTGTTTGTGTTTGTTGGTTGCTGAACGCCACCCTCAGCAGTATTCCAGCTATATGACAGCGGGTTGTATTGTTGACAGGAATGAGTGGGTGAATATTGCTTAACGCAGAATCGGCAGGTTTTCAGCTCTTCGCTGTTTGGAAAGGGAGGGACGGAAGAAATATATTTCAAAACCTTTGAGACAGGCTTGTCTTAGATATTTACCACGTGAAACCTAGACTAACAGCTAGTCTCTGAAATGAACATATTTTACAGAAAATAAACGTTTTTACATTAAAATCATAATACAATAAAAAAAAGAGCCCAGAGACTCTCTTCATTTTCAGAAGTTGTGGAAATCTAGACTTGCCACATTTTCTAGACTTGCGTGGGCTTTCTTGGATATATTTGCTTCAGGGTCTGTACGAGAGACTAAGTGAAACCCTAAAGCACGGGTATGCTACCGACAAAACTAGAATCATGGTCGGTTCCAACTGGGATTCTAACCATCAATCACAGGCTTGCCTAAGGGACGCAACTCTGTACAGCGATTTGCATTACGATAGAAAAACGAAGGAATTGTGTACGACCATATCCCTGTGACGTTGATAGATCTTCATGTTATCAACCATAAGTTTGCCCTGGTCCAGACCCGAGTATCCAGAGACCGCCGAGGTGGATCTGTCATATACAACTATATATCACATGTCACGTAAAGATGAACATGGTTACCTCCAGTGTGGTCCAGACGGACGGCTAACATATAGAGCTTGGTCCAACAGCTTGGTCCAACAGTTAGCTCGTCACACCGAAAGTCCGGGTTCAGTTCCCCACAGAGGCATACAATGTGTGAAGCCCATTTTTGTGTTCCTCGCCCTTATTAGTAGGGTTGGCAGGGTAGCCAAGCAGGTAATGTGTTCGCTCGTCATACCGATGGCCCGGGTTCTATTCCCTGTATCAGTACACCTAGTTCATTTCTTGTGTCTCCCGCCCTGATGTTTCTGGAGTGAGTGAGTTCAGTTTTACGTTGCACTTAGCAATATTCCAGCTATATGGCGGCGGTCTGTAAATAATCGAGTCTGGACAAGACAACCCAGTGATCAAATGCATGAGCATCGATCTACGCAATTGGGATACGATGACATGTGTCAAACAAGTCAGTGAGCCTGACCACACGATCCCGTTAGTCGCCTCTTACAACAAGCATGGGTCACTGAAGACCAATTCTAACCCGGATCTTCACAAGTTGATGCTTGAATAATTATATGCGGCGTATAAAGACATTCATCAGCTAGTCAAATACCGATATGCACGAAGGAGCCCACGCATGAGACTGGACACACTTCCTGATTAAAACACAACCAAGGCATCTGAAACCAGCGATCATCCCCGTTTGAACCAACCAGCTTCATCATTATCAAATGTTTCAAGGAGCATTTCTTTACTGAACGCGATAGCCGAGGTTATCACTTTGCCATACTGAAACTTAACCAGAGAATAACATGAGGTAAGACCAGAAAATAACATAAGGTGAGACGTGAGCTTTATACAGGGTCGCTAGACGGGGGTGATGAGAGTATTATTAGTTTATGCAGCCCTGATATCAAATAGCGACTGATGTGGTATTTTCGACGGGGGGCATTTCAGTATAAGGCGCCTGCGCTGTAAACTATGCGTGGTAGTAGTCCGTATTTGGAATGACCCAGATTTGGTGAACTTGGGGCTTGCGTAAATCTAACTTTAACACCACTCAAACAAGGTAATATAAACCCTATTGACGTCAAACGTATGCATTTATTATGGATGCTACATACTATATACTCCTCCAAGGTAGGAGATATGACATGACATTGATGTAAGACGTATGTATTTATTACGGATGCTATACACTATATACTCCCCAAGGTAGGAGATATGACATGACATTGATGTAAGACGTATGTATTTATTACGGATGCTATACACTATATACTCCTCCAAGGTAGGAGATATGACATGACATTGATGTAAGACGTATGTATTTATTACGGATGCTATACACTATATACTCCCCGAGGGTAGGAGCTATGATATGACATTGATGTAAGACGTATGTAATTATTACGGATGCTATACACTATATACTCCTCCAGGGTAGGAGCTATGACATGACATTGATGTAATGTATTTACGTATGTATTTATTACTATGACATGACATTGATGCTATACACTTACGGATGCTATACTCCCCCAAGGTAGGAGACTATGATATAGCATTGATGTAAGACGTATGTATTTATTACGGATGCTATACACTATATGAACTCCCCTATACACTATAGGAGCTATGATATGATGGCATTGATGTAAGACGTATGTACTTATTACGGATGCTATACACTATACACTATATATACTCCTCCAAGGTAGAATATATGACATCACATTGATGTCACACGTATGTATTTATTACGGATGCTATACACTATATACTCCTCCAAGGTAGGAGCTATGACATGACATTGATGTAAGACGTATGTAATTATTACGGATGCTATACACTATAAACTCCCCCGGGGTAGGAGATATGATATGGCATTGATGTAAGACGTATGTATCTATTACGGATGCTATACACTATATACTCCTCCAAGGTAGGAGCTATGATATGGCATTGATGTAAGACGTATGTATATATTACGGATGCTATACACTATAAACTCCCCCGGGGTAGGAGATATGATATGGCATTGATGTAAGACGTATGTATCTATTACGGATGCTATACACTATATACTCCCCAGGGTAGGAGCTATGACATGACATTGATGTAAGACGTATGTATTTATTTATTAAAACGCGAGTTTTGGGGAATCAGCTCGCTTGGCAAGAGGTCTGCCCATACCAACCCACACACAACACAACACCTGAGTAAATAAACAAGGAGTTTATTACACAGCAGTCACTGAACGATTTTACATAATCAGTCAATAATAGCATAGTTTACAATTAATTATTAGAACATGTTCACAATGCAATCAGATATCAAAGTACATAAACATCACATGTAGATTCGTTATACACGACACATACTACATTAATCGCGATACATATTCCAATGTACACAACAATAGTTCAGAACTCTACACATCACCCCAGTGGGGGTTCATACAATCTACATTCTGTAACGGTCCCAAACAGCATA